AGGAAGAAGAAAAAAAAATGAAAAAAGAAAAACGAATATGCCCATAAGAAGAAGAAAAAAAAAAAGGAATCTGCCCAGAAAAAGAATGAGGAGGAAGAAGAAGAAGGAGGAGGAGGAGGAAAAAGAAGGAAAAAAAAAACGAATCTGCCTAGAAGAAGAAGAAGGAAAAAGAAGAAAAAGAAAAAAGAAAAAAAAAACGAATCTGCAACCCAGAAGAAGAAGAAGAAGAAGAAGGAAGAAGAAAAAAAAAAACGAATCTGCAACCCATAAGAAGAAGGAAAAGGAAGAAAGAAAAAAAAACGAATCTGCAACCCAGAAGAAGAAGAAGAAGAAGAAGAAGGAGGAAAAAGAAGGAAAAAAAAGAAAGAAAAAAAAGAAAAAAAACGAATCTGCAACCCAGAAGAAGAAGAAGAAGAAGAAGGAAAAAGAAGAAAAAGAAGGAGAAAAAAAAAAAAAACCAACCCAGTTCGTCCACCCCCTAAAACCCAACCCCCTGCAACCCAGAAGAAGAAGAAGACGACGAAGAAGGAGGAGGAGGAAGAACAAGAAGAAGAAAAAAAAAATTCTGCAACCCAGAAGAAGAAGGAAGAAGAAGAAAAAAAAAACCGAACCCAGTTCGTCCACCCCTTGCAGCCCAAAAGAAGAAGGAGGAGGAGGAAGAAAAAAAAAAGTACATGATTTTTTTTTTTTAAAAATTTGGGCGGGAAAAAAAAATATAAGGTACATGGTTATGGGAAAAAAATTTGGGCGGGAAATTTTTTTTTTGAACCCCTAAAAAAAATCCACGTGGTGCCCAGTCATTGTCCACATGGGCACCACGTCACAGTTAACGGAAGACTTAACAGTTTGACTAACAGATGTATGAGACTGTTCCAAAATTTACACTTTAAGTATGACTCTGGGACGAAAAAAAACTTGATGTACTAAATGTTGAAAACCACAAAACTTCAGGGTAGTAAACAGAGTTTAACCCATAATAATAATAATAATAATAATAATCAATGATGATGATGATGATGATGATGATAATAATAATCTCTATTAATTAATAAAACCCTTTTTGTCAACCAAAAGAGAGTGAAAATACAAATTAGTCTTCTATCACACAAAAAAAGGGCAATAATGTAATTTCACAGGTCTAAATTTTACTGTTTTTTATTGAAACCTCACCTACATGTGATGTTAACATAGCTCCAATATTAAAAAATAAAAATAAAAATTTCCCATTTCCCACATTCTCTATCACTCTCTTCCTCTCTCCTTCTATTTCAAAAACAAAAATAAAAATTTTTCTTACACACTTTGTGTGTGATCATATGCTAGAGAGATAATCCATTTGAACCGTATTTTGTAAATCACATGATGTTTCATTGATGACTATTTTTCTTTTTTTAAATCATTAAAGAAAGAATTCAACCATCAATTGTCACATCATGTCTCTACAAACTATGATCTAAAAAATTTGTCTCCCTAGCATTTTTCGAAGGGTTAAGTGGAAATAAACTAACAATGGGCTGGAAAGTCATCAAACGTTTATCATTATAATATTTTCCTTTAGTGTGTAGGGTTTAGGTCATCAAACACTAGTGTTAACGAATGTCAAATTTTAAAATATTAGGTAGTTATTTGAAATAAAATTGGAATAAGAACTAAAAATGTATGGCGCCCATATAAAAAAGGGAGGATAGTATCATTCATTTGCTCATTTTTACTTCTTACACACTCTTATTAATTTTTGGTCATTGATCTTCAATTAATTCGATCTGACTCCCAATTATTGAGAGTAGTGTGTGAGAAATAAAAATAGACGTGTGAATGACACTACCAAAAAAGGGAATGTCATTCCAAATTTTGTAGGAATGACATTTCTTGACGGGGTGGGATTGGAGAAGGAGAATGGGAATTAACTTTATATATCAAAATTGCATTCACATTTTTTATTGATGAAAAGTGAACTAGTTTTTTTTATAATGATTCATTAGTGGAATATATAGAGAGGGAAGGAGAGTGTGTAGCATAAAATAGAGTGGCGCGATGATTGTTATTAATGCAAGGTGAGAATCAACAGATTCATTAATCCAATCTACAACAATATCGGGTTCCAGACCATTCAACGGAATCAAAATACAGAGTGGGATTTTGGACCACTCAACGGAATTCGAACATGATATGATTCCGGACCACTCAACGGAATCTCGGAGTAAAAGGGATTCTGGACCACTCAACGAAATCTGAGTGGATACGATTCTGAACCACTCAACCGAATCACAGAGTATGAGAGATTTTGGAAATCACAGAGTATAACGGATTTCGGACCACTCAACAAAATTGTGGAGTATAAGGGATTTCAGACCACTCAACAATTCAACGGAACCCCAACGAACTCAGTTTCGAACCATTCAATGAAACTAAGCGGAAGTCCAAGAAACATATCAACGGCTCGAAGAAATAAGACATGATTCAAGTTACTCAATTTACAAAAGCTAAACAAAATGAAACAAAACACAAGCACTAAATTTAAAATGGATCAATGAAGCGAGAAGTGAAACAATATCGAAGCAACAAATCCGCATGACAATGGGTTAAGGTCTGCTACTAGCCCTCACATTTCACAAACAATTCAACATGCACTTCAAATGACATTTCACAAATATTTCCAATGTACAAGTCAAATCACATTTCATAAAATAGATCGATGGCTAAATGAAAAAAATCACATTTAAGAAGAAATCACATTTATAAAATCAAATCATATCCACAAAGAATACATAAGAATCTCAGGGTAATAACCATTACCACATATATTAAAGTCACTCACTTGGAGTCCGCGCTACGACTCCTAGCATAATTATTGAGGCGTCCACACGAACGTCGCCAAGAACAAATATCAATTCTTGTCTCAGAACTTTAACGATACAACCCATAATTTCATGTTCTATACATCCTCCAAGACATTGTAAAAGAATTAGGAATGCATTGACCAAAAGTCAACCGGTTGTCAACCATCAATAGTAGGGTCCACAACCCTACGTAACTTGAACTGGAAGATCTGCGCATCGGATTTTTGATCTGTAACTTTCTAAGGTCCTCATTATGGTTCTAGAACAACATATTAAAATTTCGTCACGATCCAACAGTTGGATCTCCACCAATCGCAAATTCAAGTGGCGGTTAACTAGGTGGTCAACTCTGAACTTACGTTAAAACATCGGTATGTCACTAAACGAATTAGGGGCATCGATATTAGCTTGGGGGGAGGTCTTGGGCGAAAACCTGAAAAGTCCACAAAAGTTAATGCAAGGAATATTCGAGCCAAATGGTAGCTGCAGATGTCCTGAAACTCGGAAAGAGGAGAACATGTTAGCACCTGTTTGAAAGCCAAATGGTGGCTGCAGATGTCCTGAAACTCGATGGAAAGTCTCAAAGCTTTTAGAATGTTAGTTAATGGCCCTTTTTTTATTTTCGTGATCCAAAGCTCATTTTTAAGCTAGAGAAAAAAGGAAGGTCGACCTGGTGTTGATCAAATGGTTAGAATCGGGAGGTGTGTGGTGACGTGTATGCTCAAGCAAGGAAGAGAGAGTTCCAGAGAAAGTGAGGGAAGATTGAAAGAAAAAGAAAGACGGGAGAGAGAGAAGCCGGAGAAATCTAGAGAAGTGGAAAACGGTATGTGGGTCCCACGTGGCACACAACCCCATCTAACATGTGTTCCAAACGGCGAAATTATCAAAATGTCCTCGAAGTTTAAAGGTTCGTAAAAATTTCACTATATCTCTAAATTTAACTCTGTTTGCGTTCACGAGTTCGCATCGACGAGTACTATCTAAAAATGCCAGGAAACATGAAAAATATGAAAGGATCAGTTATGACCTCTAAGAATCCTATTTAATCCATTAGGGTCGTTTTCGTCTTTTCACACATTTAAAAAAAATTATACATTGCAAGTATAAACTTTTCGAAAATAGGAAGGTCGACCTGCTGTTGTTTTTTAGATCAAATGGTTAGCATCTTGAGGTGTGTGGTTATGTGTGTGCTCGAGCAAGGAAGATAGGGTTTTAGAGAGAGTGAAGGAGAGTGAAAGAAAAAGAAAAACGGGAGAGAAGGAAGCCTAGAGAAATCCAGAGAAGTGGGAAACGGTCTGTGGGTCCCACGTGGCACACAGCCTAACGTAACATGTGTTCCAAATGAGAAAATTACCAAAATGCCCTTGAAGTTTAAAGGTACATATTTTCTTCGCTATACCTTCCAATTTGACTCCGCTTGCGCTCATGCGTTCGTATCGACGAGTACTGTTAAAAAATGCCAGGAAACATGGAAAATATGAAAGAATTGGTTACAATATCTAAGAATCCTGTTTAATCCATTAGGGGCGTTTTCATCTTTTCAAACTTATTCTCATAAAATTGAGCATTAGTTTTTTAACTTTGACCGAATTGGAGTTGACTTTTGAATAAAAAATTCGTGAGTATTGATCCCTAAACTTATTATAATGTGATTGACCAAAAGAAATTTTTGGTGTAATGTGGAGCAATGGTCATTTTGGCCAACTCTGTTAGAACTTCCATAAAAAATAAAGGATTTAAAGAGACAAAAAATTGATAGAAGTTCTAAACGGAGTTAGTCAAAATGACCATTGCTCGACATTATAATAAGTTCAGGGACCAATCTCACATATTTTTTAGTTTAGGTACGCTCCAGTTAAGCTAAAGTTCAAGGACCATTACTTCAATTACCTCATTTATTCTCTTCTTTTTCTTTTCCCTCCTGTTAACGTAAGACTCGAGACAATGACTAATAGAGGTGTGGAAGTGATGGAAAAATCAATGTTTGAATACAACAGTGAGACAAAAGAACTCTGGATACTAAAAGCTGAAAATTAGAGAAACTTCAAGGTAGTAAAACGAAAATTGCCTGTGGGTTCCCAACCAATTGCAGCAACAAATTTGGGATGTTAAATGTTCAAAGAAGGGAGAGTGGAGATGAAAGAAGGAACAAAATACCAAGAGAGGAAGAACAGCCGGTAGGGCCATTGGAAAATTCACTTGAAAACTCAGGGGGTCGAGCATGTATCTTACAATCATTGCATTAATTTAATATGTCGAAAATTATAAATCTTCTTACAAATTAAGATAATGTTCAAGCATAATTACACACATTAAGTCATTCAAGAAATATTGACGTTCCCGACTTAAAAGTAGCATCAGAAAACATGGATGTCGCCGGTCTCTTTGTAGCCTGGTGGCTTCGTGTTCCACATGAGGTTCACCGGGTCAACAGTTCGACTGGCACCACAAGAAACCATGGCTATCTATTACTTTGGTTTATCAGTTCTTCTTAGAAGGAGATAACCGATGTTTTGACCACTCTTCCAGAGCCCTGCGGTGTAGAGCATTCATCCTAATGTGAGGACGTTTCTCTCGAATTAGTTTCTCAGCATTTTTCCAGTCCTCTGTCACCCCAAGAGCAACTAGCAGTGCACACATGACAGCTACACTTCTCCCATGACCTATAAAAGAAAATTACAAAACAATTTCTCGTTACAACTTACAACTCAATACCTACACCCATCCAAATAGTTCAGCAATCAAATATCATTAAAAAGGTCGTACCCAGTGCACAAGGCTCCCGCTTTACGCAGGGTCTGGGAGAGGTGAATGTCGGCTAGCCTTACCCCCATTTATAGAGAGGCTGCTCCCAAGTCTCGAACCCGAGACCTACCGCTCATGGGCGAAGGCACTTGCCATCGCATCAAGTGCGACCTCTAGCAATCAAATATCATTACTATGAAAAAAAACACAGCGGAAATTTGTTACGAAAAATATTTAGGGACGAGCCCCTTTATCACCCGAAACCTCCTATCGCAGGAAATTTAATGCAGAAAACTTTATTCATCAATCCAACTAGACATGGGAAAATTGGAACTAAAACAGGGAAACTAAAAACCTCAGGAAACAAACAAACAACACAGGAAGGTAATCCAACCACAAAGATATGTTAATGAGATCATCTTTTCTTCCATCTCTTTACTTGGTAAACCGTAAATGGTTTTTCAGCAATGTCCTCATCAAATTCTCTCAACGAAAAGCAATGAATCTAGAGGCTAAAAGTTTGAATAATTCCGCACATAACATCAGGGTTTATCCAGGATCATGCTCAGAATTACACGCGTAAATGCAAACTTAAATTTTGTAACTGTGTGTGACTGTTATTTCTGAAAACCAACAGCGATGACAGTATTGTTCCTCCATAAGAAATGACTGGACAAGATCATATCTAGCTTAAAAATGAGACAGTATGAATAGTTTCGAACCTAAACAATAAACGAGTTAATATAATCGTTAAGTTTCTTTTTCTTTTTTTCTTTTTCTGGGACATTAATTATGCAGAGTATAGAGCGTTTCAAAGATGTTTTGAAGAGCCCAAAGCTAATCGAATCATTTCAACCTCTTGATGTGCTGCGCTTATAACTCATCTATGCTTTTTTAATTATTTTCGTTCTCTTTTGTGTGAACCTTTAAATGTATTTAAAAAAGCGTAGATGAGTTATAAGCGAGAAAGTGCCGAGTGGTAATTGGTATCGAAAGCACTGTGAAACGCTACCCCGTTTCTTATCATCCATTGTTTACCAATTACCATTCTGCAGGAATGATACCCCGTTTCTTATCAAACCCGAGGATGCCCTGAGCAGAGCAGTGGTTGATCAAGAAGTACCTCCTCCATAGGGCTTAACCTTAAGGCAATCTTATCTGCATTGCACCACAACTACCCCTCACTTTACTCACCTATATAGATATCTAGGAGCTAATACCACCAGACATGTTGCATTGCAGAACAATTCACAAATATATACAACCACATTATATGCATCGCAAAACAAGTGAATCTATCTCACTACCAACATGAAAAATTACTCAAAATTTGAGCAGCGTACCGTGGGCGCAGTGGACGAAAACAGGCTTATTCTGAGCCCTTTTTCGGCAAGCCCACTTGACAGCAGATTCAATGGCAGCCGGCGGAGGAGCCCTCGTGTCCCATGTTGGCACACACAAATAAGAATGCCCTGTAACCTCACACTTCCTTGGCAATTCACAAGTGCAATCAACAATGGCAGGGTCACCTGGTGGCAGTTTATCCGGCGAAGAAGGCCACCCGCCAACGAACAAACCCTCGGAGATTTCAGTGTAAAGAGCCTCCCTACTATGCAACCTCTGAAATGCCGAGGAGACGCGGACGAAATACAAATAGGGGCTGAACATTATAACCGACCAAGTGGGGAAACTCCCATCTGGGTTCTTCCCCAACAGCATGGGAAGGTCTATCAATGGATGAGCAGCAAGTGAAACCAAAGCTAAAACCAAAGAGGCATATAAAAATGGTATGGAAAGCACTGTGAAACCAGAGCTTTTGAGGCATGCAAACAACGCGAACAATACTGCTGCCTTCCACCCTATCCGAACCGATAGACCATGACCCATCTTTGCTCCACTACTGAGTACCCCAAATGTGCCTGCCAGGGGCTTGATGGAAGTCCTCAGAGAGGCCAAGGGCAGATCTTGTTTTGCAGATCATATCTCGACTGGAGAAATGTAGTTTAAATAAGGGTGGGATTGGATGCTGGAGGGTATCCTCGTGTTACTCGTAAAAGCAATTTCAAAGTGAATTTAAGACTCCTCCTTCCGTACTCAAAGAATAGAACTAGAGGAATTGATGGTTTCACGGAATTGGTATTGAGACTTCAAAATTCTTATTTTGTCTTCTAAACTTTTTACATATAGAAAGAAAATACACTTGTGAGATAAAATGAGATTTTTATAATGTTAATAACAGTTTCCATAATAATAATAATAATAATAATTACGATTAAAATGACGATGGAGAGATTATTTATTTGACCTGTATTTTGTTAATCACATGATATGGCGGTCAAAATGGGAAAATGATCATCGCCGGATACTTTTCCTAGGGATTCTAGGAATTCTGTGATCGTGACCGTTCATCGTACATCGTGCGGTCATAAATCATTTCAAAATATACAATTTAAAATTAAATATAAATAGTACTTAATGAAAACTGATCACATAATATACGATGAACGATCACGATCACAAAATTCCTAGAATCCCTAGGAAAAGGATCCGGCGATGATCCTTTTCCCATTTTGACCGCCATATCATGTGATTAACAAAATTTTCATACTCATAGAGTATGAGTATGAAAATTTTGTTAATCACAAAATAGAACTAGAGGAATTGGATGCTGGAGGGTATCCTCGTGTTACTCATAAAGCAATTTCAAGTGAATTTAAGATATCTCCTTCCATACTCATAGAATAGAACTAGAGGAATTGATGGTTTCACGGGAGACTTTCTGTTTACTGAATTGTTATTGACATTTCAAAATTTTCATTTTGTATTCTAAACTTTTTACATTTAGAAAGAAAAATACACTTGTGAGAAATACAAAATGAGATTTGAGTGCTAATAACAGTTTCTATAATAATAATAATAATAATTACGATTAAAATGATGATAGAGAGATTATTTATTTGACCCGTATTTTGTTAATCACATGATAAAGTGTCGAAAATGGGAAAAAGATCATCGCTAGATCCTTTTCCTATGGATTCTAGAGATCCCATGATCGTGATTGTTCATCGTACATCGTGCGGTCATAAATCATTTTAAATTTTAAAATTTAAAATTAAATATAAATAGTACTTAACGAAAATTAACTACACGATATACAATGAACGATCACAATCACGGGATCCTATAATCCCTAGGAAAAGGATCCTCGCCGTCTCCTTTTCCGTCAAAATGTAGCTTAATAGTTATTTTAAGGGTGGGATTGGATGCTGGAGGGTATCCTCGTGTTACTCATAAAGCAATTTCAAGTGAATTTAAGATATCTCCTTCCATACTCATAGAATAGAACTAGAGGAATTGATGGTTTCACGAGAGACTTTCTGTTTACTGAATTGTTACTGACATTTAAAAATTTTCATTTTGTATTCTAAACTTTTTACATTTAAAAAGAAAAATACACTTGTGAGAAATACAAAATGAGATTTTATGGTGTTAATAACAATTTCTATAATAATAATAATAATAATTACGATTAAAATGATGATAGAGAGATTATTTATTTGACCCGTATTTTGTTAATCACATGATAAAGCGGTCAAAATGGGAAAAAGATCATCGCTGGATCATTTTCCTATGGATTCTAGGGATCCCATGATCGTGATTGTTCATCGTACATCGTGTGGTCAGAAATCATTTTAAAATTTAAAATTAAATATAAATAGTACCTAACGAAAATTGATTACACGATATACGATGAACGATCACAATCACGGGATCCTATATTATCCCTAGGAAAAGGTTCCTCACCGTCTCCTTTCCGTCAAAATGTAGCTTAATAGTTATTTTAAGGGTGGGATTGGATGCTGGAGGGTATCCTCGTGTTACTCATAAAGCAATTTCAAGTGAATTTAAGATATCTCATTCCATACGCATAGAATAGAACTAGAGGAATTGGTGGTTTCACGAGTAGACTTTCCACCACAATCCAAGGACAAAATGAAAATTTTGAACTACAAGTTTCTATTATAATAATAATAATAATAACAACAACAACAACAACAACGGTTAGTATGATGCTAGAGAGATAATCCATTTGAACCGTATTTTGTAAATCACTTAATGTATCATCGATAACTATTTTCCTTTTTTAAATCATTAAAAAAAGAATTCAACTATCAATTGTCACATCATATATCTACAAACTATGATTTAAAAAATATGTCTCCCTAGCATTTTCCCAAAGGTTAAGTAGAAATAAAGTAACAATGTGCTGGAAAGTCATCAAACGCTTATCATTACAATATTTTCCTTTAGCGTGTAGGGTTTAGGTCATCAAACACTGGCCTAACCAATGTCAAATTTTAAAATAATAGGTAGTTATTTGAAAAACAAAAAAAAAATTGGAATAAGAACCAAAAATTTGATAAAAAAAGAGAATAGTGTTATTTACATACTCATTTTTACTTCCTATCACACTCTTATTAATTTTTTGTCATTGATCTTCAATTTATTTGATTTGACGACCAATTATTAAGAATAGTTTGTGAGAAGTAAAAATAGGCGTGTGAATGACACCACCCAAAAAGGGAATGCCCTCCCAGATTTTTGGAGGAATGACATTTCTTGACGGGATGGGATTGGAGAAGGAGAATGGGAATTAACTTTATATATCAAAATTTCATTCACATTTTTTATTGATGAAAGGTGAACTAGTTTTATAATGATTCATTAGTGGAATATATAGAGAAAGAAGAGAGTTTGTAGCATAAAATAGAGTGGCGCGATGATTGTTAACGCAAGGTGATAACCAACAGATTCATTAATCCAACCTACAACAATATCAGGTTCCAGAACATTCAATGGAATCAAAATACAAAGTGGGATTCCAGACCACTCAACGGAATCCGAACAAGATATGATTCTAGACCACTCAACGGAATCGCAGAGTAGAAGGGATTCTGGACCACTCAACGAAATCTGAGTGGATACGATTCCGGACCACTCAACGGAATCGAGGAGTACAAGGGATTTCGGACCCCTCAACGAAATCGCACAGTATAAGGAATTTTGGACCACTCAACGAAATCGTAGTGTAAGAGAGATTCTGAACCCCTCAAACGGAATCCAGACGGAGCAAGAAACCAGACCACTCAACGGAACCCCAACAAACTCAGTTTCAAACCACTCAACGAAACTGAGCGGAAGTCCAAGAAACATATCAACAGCTCAAAGAAACAAGACATGAATCAAGTTACACAAGTTACAAAGGCTCAACAAAATGAAACAAAGCACAAGCACTAAATTTAGAGCGGATCAACAAAGCGAGAAATGAAACAATATTGAAGCAACAAATCCCCATGACAATGGGTTAAGGTCCGCTACTAGCCCTCATATTTCACAAACAATTCAACATGCATTTCAAATCACATTTCACAAATATTTCCAATGCACAAGTCAAATCACATTTCATAAAAATAGATCAATGGTTAAATCATAAAATAGATCGATGGCTAAATGAAAAAAAATCACATTTCAATAGAAATCACATTTATAAAATCAAGTCATATCCACAAAAGGATAAATAAGAATCTCAAGGTAATAACCATTACCACATGTATTGAAGTCACTCACTTGGAGTCCGTGCTACGACTTCTAGCACAATTATCGTGGTGTCCACACAAACGTCGCCAAGAACAAATATCAATTATCATCTCAGAACTTTAACGATAAAACCCATAATTTCATGTGCTATACATCCTCCAATACATTGTAGAAGAATTCGGAATGTGTTGACCAAAAGTCAACAGTTGGTCAACTATCAACGGTAGGTCCACAACCTTACGTAACTTGATCCGAAAGATCTACACATCTGATTTTTTATCTGTAACTTCATAAGGTCCTTATTATGATTCTAGAACAACATGTTATAGGTTATAATGTCAAGAAGATCCAGCCTCTATAACGAATCCATCAAAAGTTTTGAAATACCCACTGATGCCTCTTTCCGCAACCCATTTATAACAGAATTATATATCATCAAATTAGTTTTTTCTTCCCCTCACATCAGCTTTTCATAAATCTGAACTGCACTTCCTATGCTCCCTTCTTTGCAGTGCCCATCAATCAAAGTGCCATAGGTGACAGTGTCAGGAAGTAAACCACGAACAAACATGCTGCCCGTCAATTGCTTGGCTGCTGTCAAATTTTTGCTTTTGCACAAATAATCAATCAGGATACTGTGGGAGAAAACATCCTTGATGAGGTTCTTCTCAAGGATGTGGTTATGAAGTCCAACTGCTTCCATCACAAGCCCACTTCTAGAGAGCCCCTTGATGAGGATTGAGTAGGTGAACTGATCAGAGCATATATGCCTATCAATCAAGTCAGAGTCAGACAATAAGGAAAAAGCTTCCTCAGTATCTCCTTCCATGTGAAGCCGATGGATAATTGAATTGTAAACAACAGGATTAGGGGCCAATCCCCTTTCCACCATTCCATCGCACAATCGAAGTGCCAACTCCAAACGCCCCTGTTTTGCATACCCATCTACTAGAGTTGCACAAGTCCTCAAATTGGACTCAACACCTGCCTCGGCCATTTCAGCATGAATTTCTTCTGCAACCGGTAAACCACTAATTTTGCAAAACCCATTAATGATACAATTATTGTAAGTAACTGAATTGGCCGTAACACAGTCCTCCGACATTACCCCCATCTTTCTCAAAACCTTCAAGGCAAGTTCCATATCACCCATCCTGCATGCTCCAGGACCATTTAAAATCATGTTAAAAGTAACAACACTAGGCCAAATTCCACTCTTCAACATCTGATAATATTCCGACATTGCTTCTAGTAACTTGCACTCCTTACAAAGAGCATAAATAACCAAATTGAAAGTATCAACATCTTCAACATACCCATATGAAAGCATTTCCTTATACATCTTCCAAAACCTATCAATCTCATTCAACTTAATTAAATGATTAAGAAAGTTCTTCCATGCGTGAATCAAAACCCAATCCAATCTAAGCTTCTTGATCACCTCATAATCACCATCTATGGCCCCGAACCGAGTACAAGCCCTCACAAGTGCATCAAACACTGCAGGGCTTGAACGACCACAACCTTCACCATAACTAGTAACCAACCCCTCCAACAACCAATGGGGGCAAACCCTCTTCCCCCATTAGACTCTCCATAAGAGACAATGCATCATCGTACCTCCTAGAATGGATCAAAACACGAATTAAAGTACAAGAAGATTCCAAAATTGAGGACAACAACTCTGGTTCGTACGAACCCAGTTGTAAAACTCTAAAGCCAACTGCGACGAGTTCCGAAACCCGCTAACAACACGGCTGACTAATGAACTGGTTAGAGTGGGGGATACCTGGTCTAAGAACTTCCATCTCCTCTGTCGAAGATTAACACAAATCATTTTGAAAACAATGTTGTCGGAGTTTGGAGGTGAGAATTGCTTACTCGCGTGAAGACCGCGGCAAATTAGACGGGTTGTTTTTGGGGAGAGAAGAAGCTTGGAACCCAGTTCATCAAATAGCACCGCAGTTTCTGGAACAAACCTTCGGACCCCAAATCCAATGCATCGTCGCGCTTCACTGAGATACTGCGACAAATTGCGATAGGCCACAGAGCTTCTACTTCTACGAACCAAAAAGTAAAAAAAATAAAAAACCAGAGTTTCTCTTTCATTTTTTACTTTTATTTTTAAACCTAGATGTTACTCACTGTTGGGCTTTCTGCAGTAAGTCCAAATAAGAGTGCAACTTGGGTCGGTTCAAGACCAACCGGAGCTTATGAGAGGAGTTTGGTGCGGTTCGAGGGGGTTGAACTGACCCGCTATAGTACAGGAAACTACACGGATCATGCGAAGCGTTGTCATATGATCATATGATGATTTTATCAACAAAACAATGACATAGCGCGGATTTATCGATCCAAATCTAAAGGTTCAATAGTGAGAGTAGATATGAAAAGGGAACGCACAATCGTGGATGCAAATGGGAACGCACAATCGTTTGAGACAAATTATGGACTTGAGAGAGTTATGAGAGAAGTAAGTGGCAATTACCATTTTTCTTGTTTGACTTGCTATTTATAGATTTGAACCATAACAAGCAGTTGGGAATGGACGTTTCATGCCATACTAGGTAGACCTTTAAGATCTACTAGTGATGGTGCAAACCAGTCTCCACAATCCTGCCAGCTAGTGGTCCTAAAAGTCACTGTCGACATGAGCGCAGGCCCGCTAGACACCCAAGGGGAGACTCCAAAGGGTCAACTTCCTGCTACCATTGAGCCGAGCATGGCCAATTGACAGGACATATCATGGGCCTTGAGCACCTTTTGTCACACCCCGATCCTGACATACGTCCAGAATCGACGTGCAACGGTAGACTATGTAGGGGGATGCCAAGAAATACAACCGAAATACTAAAATGAAATTAACAATATTTACAACAACTATGCAATAAGGATTACTCTCACTAGGGACAATGTCAGTAGGCTTCCAAAGGAAAGTCGAAAATAAATACGAGGAAAGATAAGGGTAACCTAACATTCCTAGCTGTCTGGCAACAATATGCTACTCCAGAGGCTCCACATATCAACTAAACCTGCATAATCGCCCCTACACCATGGGAACGGTGCACCCGGTAAATCAACAACCCAGATAAGCCGTGAAACTCGTGTGAGTGACAATAATGCAATGTATGTGATAATATAAAAACGTATCCATCAATCACGGTTTATAAACATAAAATATAAACTCAATACTTTATGAAATCATAATCAAACCACTGAAAATCCCGAAAGAGTCACACACACATCCATCGACTTTTCTATAACAAACCACAAAGATCACAGTCAATAGTTCATACAATACACTAAAAAGTAGGGCTAGAACAACACAGTTCGGTCGAAGCCTATATCTTTGAAGCTGTCTCAAATAATTCAATCCAAGGAACCAATGAATCAAAGGATGCAATTTTGGAACACTCAACAAAATATGATATTTTATTTCTCTAATTTTATCAATTTTTATATAAGATGGGTAGAGAATTTGCATGACTTGGCCGTTGGTGAAAGAGAGTAACTTTTCAAATCTTGTTGTTACAGATTGTTACTTGTTTTTCTAAATAAAAACGATAGTTTTACTCTAAACTACACTAACGAAAGGGAGAAGAGTTTGAACCGGGACACAGTAGGTAAAAGAAGATTCTAATCATCAAGACAATTACCATTTTATTTTAGTTGTTAAGTGACTATTCAACCTGTTGGGTTGCTAATGGGTAATTGTTAAGACACTTTAATTTGATATCACTATAATATACATGTGAGATTGATAGTGGTGATGATGGTGTCAGATGATATTTTAACAACTCAATGAGTTGATTTGCCACCTCTGCTTAAAAGACTATATTGATTTACAACACCTATTTTCAAGAATTATTTTGATCTGATTTTCAATTTCAATGACCATCTTTATCTTTATGAGGTGCCTCAATTTTAGAAACCGGATAAAAACTCTTTATTTATTTATTTTATTGGACAAAAGAAGAAGTGTGGTTGACGCACTTTGCTACTAACTTTCATTATAATCTTAGTTCGGATCATACTTGGCTTGACGCTGTCTCTCTCTCTACTTTTCATCATATCTTGTTCCTCTTTCCATCCATTGCCTTGCAATGCAAGCAAAGTTCCCATGTAAAGAGAAATCAACCACCACAACCACTGCTACTCTATATAGTAATATACATGATGAAAGAATCTAACGGCCTCAATTTTCCAAGTTTTTCATATATAATAGCTACCGGCCGCTACCGATGATATATGTATATCTTTGAATTGTAAATAATGGGGATCTGTTTCGCGAAGCGGAAGAAATCGACGGCAGATATAGTGCCGCAAAAACAACTGACGACAACAGTCCGACTGTACGGCTCTCCCAGCAGCACAAACTACATCCGATTTGCCCTCAAATACAAGGAGGCGGCTGTCTCACTTCGCTGCGTGGTGGTAGCCAGATCTAACGACGACAACGACGACAACGACGACAACGACGCAACGACGAAAACGACGAAGATTATAGAAACTTGGAGGTGGCGATGGAGGTGGAGGAGGGCGGGTCATCGTCGGATCCAGCTGAGAGGGTTTCAGGGCCACCCAATACTCTGCTGCAGTTGATGGAGGCCAGATTCCCTCATCCGCCGCTTCTTCTTCAAACGGGGTCGTCCTCTGAAACCCAAACGACGTCGCTGGTGGCGGCGGTTGTGAAGCTGACTGAGCTGCAACACAGGAGCCTGGCGTGGCACTTGGAGAGGTTGGTGAGGTGGGTTATGGATCTGTTGAAGCGTCCGGGTAAAGGAAGAGGAGGGGTGGTTGATCCGACGGTGGGGAGTGCTCGGATGGAGTTAAGGAAGCTGGGGAGGAACTACTCGCAGCTTTTGGAGCTGATGTTGGAACACGCTCAGATGGAGGAGAGACTCCTCTTCCCCATCTTCAACTACTGTGATCCAGGTCACATCTTTTTTTCCTTTTTTCAGAAGAATATTTACCAATTAAACTTTTACTTTTTTTTGGTATATATATTTTTAGGATTGCAAAAATAAAGGTATATATGTAGGAATCTTCTATAAATATTTTCGGGCACCTAAACTTCTTGTCATTTGTAAGAATTTTCCATGAATATAATTTTGATGGAGTAAAAAACCATAAGATTATATATGTAAGTGAATATGGCAAGATTTTCACACATACGCCATACTGTATAATGACATAAAGGGAAAAAGAATAAATTGCCATAAAACTCGTCATTTTCGAAATTTGAATATAATTTTTTTTTATTTACAAGTGAAAAAAATACTACTAGATTGTAATACTAAGTGATATAATAATAAATTATTTTAAAAACCCAGCAAATGTCATAACTTAGCTAAAATGTTGAGTTAAAACAAAGCAACTGTTATTAGCATTCCAAAAATCTCATTCTACACTCCTAACAATCGTATATTTCTTTCTGATTATAAATTTTTTTTAGAGTAAAATGAAAATTTTAAAATGTTAATAACAATTATTATTAAATAAAGTTAAGATGGTAAACTAACCAAATAATTATGCAGGAATCTGTAAAGCTGCGAATGAAGAACACGCAAGGGACCTACCCATCATGAACGGCATCAAAGAAGACATCAAATCCATTGAGGTTCTTGACATTGGGAGTCGTTACTACAAAGAAGCTCTTTCTAACTTTTCTAAGCGCCTCAATTCACTACAGGTGATCCATGTTAACTGCTTCTTGTTATTGTTTTATTAGTGTTATATAGAGCTAACTAGTTAGTAATTTAATATAATATTAATTGCGTGTTTAAATTCATTCCATAATCTTTTTTCATAATTCAAATATTTATTTTTCTGGATCTTCATTCAAAAATCTTTCTTACAGAATTTTATCCATATCGAAAAGCGTTTCAATATCAAATTGGGACAAAGAAAAAATAGACATGCACAGTGTTGCTAAAAACACAATGAAATGTTTATAACAACAATCAAATAAAATGATTTTTTATTTGGACGAATTTTTGTATGGAGTTCTAAAAAATGAAAGGTTTGGAACTTTGGATGATGAGAGAATATTATACAGTGGGGTCTACGTGATTAGCACTGTATTAAGTCATACAATATAATATTCTACACATAATAATATTACTAAATATATATTTTATTTGGACTTAATATGTAGGAGCGTTATAGACAACACTTTACGGAGGAGGAAAGAGAAGTATTGCCGTACATGGAGGCAGCCGAGCTGAGCAAAGAGCAGCAGCAGAGACTATTGGACGAGTGTTTGGATGTGATGCAACAGTCACACTCATCGCATTTGTTCAATTTTCTCCTTGAAGGGCTACTTCCTTGTGAAGCCATGCACTACTTGGACTTGATCTCCATGTCCACCAACAAACAACGAACAACTTCTCTGCTTCACATGATCATTTAGCTACTTATAACATCTTCCTCGTGCATATTTGTTGATAATTTGTTTTTTTAATTTTTCTTTTTTATGATTATATAGCACGAACAATATTTCATTGAGAAAGTTGGTGAGACTTACATAAACTTGTGCAGTTCGAGACTTACATAGATAACTAGCCACAAACTCAGATATGCCCCCTATCGATCTTGTTGGTCGGTGGTCTACTAAAGCCAAATTGGTGTTGGAGCAATAATAGAAAATATGGAAATAACACAAAAATTCTAATAATAATAATCATAAAAGAAATTCACAATATCAATTATATATGAAATTAATATAAACAACAAATTTTAAGGATTCAGATTGTTTGACGAGAATGATTAGGTGGAATCCTTTCCTGATTTCTCCAGATTATTGTTGCTCCTCAGAGAAGAAACCAACGTCAATGTCAGACTTCCCACCGGAGCTACTGTTCGACATCCTATCAAGGCTTCCGCCCAAGGATTTGATTCGATTCCTCAGCGTTTCCAAAGCTTGGAATGCCATCATCCGCCACCACCACTTCATCAAAGCTCATCTTCAACGCTCCATCCAAACCAATTCCTTTCGCACCATTTTAGTCAGGTCAATTGGCTCCCCCTCATTAGATTATTTTTCATCGGCTGTCAACGGCAGCGAAACGTTCCGGACAGTCGTTAAAATTGAGCGGCCGTTGAAATCCCCTGAGAGGTATCAGATACTGGGGTGCTCGATTCATGGAGTGGTTTGCATTTGCAATAGTCTCCGTACGAATGTCGCTTTGTGGAACCCGTCAATTCAAAAGTTTAAGATGATTCCCCTCCCAGCCATTGAGCAGCAGCAGCCATCATCAGATTTACATATATCCCTAGGGTTCGGGTATGATTCAGTTTATGATGACTTTAAACATTTGCGAATTGCGGAGCTTAGTAAGGGAGTCTTTGTGAGTTCTGAGGATAGTATTTATAATATAGCCTCATATTGAACTCATGGAAAAGGATCAAGAACTTGCCTCGCAATGATTTTAGTACACTGAATGTGTATGACACGGCGCTGGAGTTTTTAAATGGTGCTCTGTGTTGGCTAATGCCGAACAGATTAGATATGTATCGATTCATAATTCTGACCCTTGATCTTGCTACTGAAAAGTATCGGGAGTTTGACACCCCGGTGGATGAGGATTACAGTACCGTCATGGAGTTGGAGGTTTTAGTGGGCTCTCTATGTGTTTATGTTCATGATTGGGACACCGGAAATGATGTTTGGATTATGAAGGATTTTGGAGGACCTTGGACCCTTCTGTATTCTATTAAAAAGGAAACTATGACTTGGTTGCTTAACTATTGCCCACCTTTGGTCTTTTCAAAGAACGGTGAAATGGTTCTTTTGAAGGAGGACGAGGAAGCATTTGTTTGGTTTGATTTAAAGGGAAAAATTGGATACCAAGATAATATTTGCGGTCTGCCAGTTCGCTTTGATGCAAAGATTTGCGAGGGCAGCCTTTGTCTTATTGATGGTGATCCCGTGATTGGTTGGAGGCAGTAGTTCTCTTCTACCTCTAATTTCAACCAGTGAAGGGATAAATTTTTTATTGTGACGGGAGCACAAGACGTGTTTTTATGTAAGTAGTGAAAAATTTTATTTTTTAAATTATTAACTTTTTAACACACATATCTCACCATTTGTATAGTGACACGTGATGTACCAACTCGTGTGTTGGTTACACTAAAAAATCTCTCACAAGGGTTTGTAGAGGTACTCAAAGCAACAAAAGATGACTTTAATTACGGTGGAAGGTGGGTAATTGGCTTGATAGGTTGAAATACAAGTACGTGAACTTATGTGCCTTGCTATGTACGCTTATTGATCTCTCATCTTTTGGCTAAGTGTTTTTCCTTTATTGTAACAGTATTAACTAGATTGTTTGCTAGTTGTCAGAATTGTTTCAAATCAATCGTTACCTTTCTCGTATGTTTGGTTGGTTGGTTTTCTTCTTGTGTCTGAATAACTGATGATGTGCTGCAATTTCCTGGCATCCGATTGACCGTGTTCCATGGTCTTTTCTCTTGATGTTTGTCCTGTTTCTGTTGGGAGCTTTGTAAGCATATTAATATTCGGAGGACAATTAACCATTTACGGATCAAATTAATGACATGCTTCAGATTCCCTTTTGAAAAAGGAACACACATTTTTCGTGCAACCTTGCTGCAAGGCCTTGAACATGCAACGGAACATGAATGTATGATGTTTTCTTGTTTGTCTCTTTTTGAGGGAGGACTGTCGTAGGTTTTTCTTTTAATTCGTTTACAGCACTTCCACCTCTAACAACCCACTCCACCCCACCCAATAGGTTGGCCCAACGTGGAAGCCAGCTTTAAGGTCAGCACATAATAGATTGAGCAAGAGACCGGCTTACATGACGCCAGACTGGCGTCAGCTATGTGAATTTCCTTTTTTTTTTACCGTTGGCATGTGGGATTCAGGGTGCGCATTCAAGTGTTAAAAAAAGTCAGAATCTTAAGGGCCACGTGTCCACATTTAGGCTGTTGGATTTCATTTTAAAATAAAAGATTTACACACACACACACACACACACTTCAACCATTTTCACAAAAATTGTATTTTCGGAAATGACACGTGGCATGACAAGATTGATTAAAATTTCTATCCGAAATTTAAAATATTTTTTTTAATTATTTTATAAAATTTAATATGGATTGACTAGACTTTTGCCCAGCTCATTTTTTAGGAGTAGAGATGTACTTGGCCAATTACTGTTCATTGGAGTCAATTACTATTCATTTGGGTGGATTAAATGGACTTTGGGCCAACTCATTTTTTAGGGATGAAGTTGCTCTTAATCGGTAGTAGACACATTTTCACTCATTTTGCACTCTTGCTTTCTTTTGTACCTCAATTTTCTTTTAATTCGTTTAATCCGTAGGCCATAAATAACAAGCATGTGCAACAGAAAATCATTGTGTTGAATTCAGTTACATAATTCACTCATTTATAATGAAATCCTTCTCTTCAAAATAGGAAGAAAATAAAGTTTATAACGAAATCATTCTCTTCAAAAAGGAAGAAAAGAAAGTGGTGATTGGCAATACAAAAACAGAGCCGTGATAGTGGTTAATATGTTAAGAATTAATTCCACATTAAGAAAAAGAGAGATTTGCATGTGCTTAAAAGTAGTTGGGCTACTCCCTCTATTGCCGATTGATTTTATGGTGGAACCTGTTCGCTCCCTAAATCCGCCATGGGGCCTTGCGGGCAAGTCGGGGATTTACTGCACATACGAGATTGGTGGGTGCGGGCGTGCCACTACTAGATGCCGCTAGTAGACGGGATTTGAATGATTGAGGTTGCGCCTTTTGACTTCAAATCAAGAGATTGTGCCATTTGAGTGGGAGTTGCTCAAATCAAGGTTCTTTCTTTGCCTTAAAAATAAGGACTTTACTTATATGGAGAGATAGAACAATATGTAAATGACAAGGTTGCTTGGAAATATAAATGACAAGGGAAAGTGGCTAATATTGCAGATTGCTTGTAATTTATATGACTGGAAATGAGTACATAACAGCTACAAATGAGATCAATACCGCAAGTGAGCAGCAGAGCTAATAAGCTAGATAAAAGAAGGCTTTTGGCAAATCTGGTTTGAGCAGAGTTTGTGCTTTTGTTTGTTTGTTTGAGTGTCCATAATCCTTGTGCATCTGCTCCCTTTTATAGAGGTTTGGAGGAAACCCTCCTGCTGAGGTTTTGTATCTGCCCGAAAGAAGCTTGGGCAGCTTGTATTCCATTGCTTTAGACAGCTTGCATGCTTTTCACTTGCCAACTTGTATGGAGAAATAATATTAAAAGGGGAACTTGCATTTCCACCACAAGCTTTCATCACATGTTTTCCCACTTGTAATAAACTAATCAATTAAAAGAAGTAAGTTGGCAAATTGGCTTCTTTCATCACACATTCTTGCCCGAAAGTATGCATGGTGTCCTTCCATCCACTTGCATGAAAAAGCATGCACTTGTCTTGATTAAACAATTCCCTTGGCAAACCTCCACCACCCAAACAAATAGGAGAAATAATATTATAGTGCCAAACCCTCCACTTGCAACTAAATATCTTTCCAAGTTAGTCTTCTTGCATATTAATCCTCCAAATACCATATTTTACCCAAATTGCCCAAATAAGTAAAATGGGTATATTTTAGGTGTAAACAGTGCCCCCCAAGTTTTACAAATTTGAGCAAAGTTTGTGAAACTTACAACCCTAATGCTGCCAGGATTGATGTCGAAGGAAGAGGCACGTCTACCTCTTCGGTCCTTCTGTCGTTGACAAACTTTGGAAAGAGGAGCAAGGCAATTGGTATTGCAACTAGCATTGGAAAAAATGTTGTCTAACTTGTGCATCCTTCTCGTTGATACCAAAAAACATAGGAGCATCTTCACTGGTTACCGAGATAGTAAACTAGAAAAATGCCCGAAGTCGGGCAAACTGGAAAAGAGAGTTAAGAGAGAAATAAACTGGGCAACTATTCTTTTTTGTCTTTTTCTTTTGGCCTCTTTTCATATAATATATAATATAATATAACTATATATATATATATATATATATATCTCTGGAGCCCTTTAGGGCAAAGTGAAAGAAAGAGGAAAAGAAAGAGACAAGGAGAAAGAGGAAAAAAGGAAAAGAGAGAAGAATGAGAGAAAGATAGGGACAGCCACTTGGGCTTTTGGGAAGAAAAGTTGACTGGCCTACCCTATAATATAATCTATCATATATTATATAGATATACAGCCCATTCGGGCAGAGCAAAGAAAGCAGACTTCGACAGAGATACAGAAAAAGAGAAAGAAATAATAAAATAAAAAAGAAAGAGATGCCCTTTCGGGTAAGAAAGGGACAGAAGAGATAAGGAATAGGAAAAGAGAGAGAAAGAGAAAGAAATAATAAGAGAGGGACCTTTTGTCAGGCAACAGAGCAATTTTTCTTTCTCAGTCTTTAGGCAATATCGGGTTAAACGAAGCTGATTTTCCAAACTTGGAATCACAGGCTACCTCCGTGGAGTTTGCTGCAAGAGCAATGGACTTTTGCTGGGTATGAGGATCCTATCTTGTCAACAGAAGAAGTCACCAGTAGCAGGGGCTTTGTTGTGCCATCTTTATCGCAGCAATGTTCGAATGCAATGGTCCCAACAAGAGCATTGAAATCCTCTAGCAACTTCCCCACTCTAATCACATTCCAGGGGTCCCTATACTGCTCTCTCATTTTATAATCAAATGAAAAACTAGTACAGAATACTAGTCCGACCTTGCGCCGGAGTCCTCGCCATCAGTTCTTTCTACAGAGGCGCGTCACCCGATGCGTACCCATTCCAGGCCATAAACTGATCGATTCTCGAATAGAAGAGCCAACATCGATGGGTGCGAACTGTCATGGGGCGAAGTTATGATGGAAACAACATGGATTTGGCTGAGAGGGGTCGGACGTTTGAGAAACTGCGGATGTTATGTTGGTGGTTGAATGATAGCTGACATGGTTCCCTCACTCCGACTTCTGTGCATCGAGAAATCCTGCTTTGAGGTTCATAAGTCTGCTTCCCAGATCAAGGTAGTGATGCTGACTATGCACTATTACTTTTGTTCCGCTCGGAGAGAGGTGGTCATGTTTGACCGATCTGCAGAATCCTTCAGAGAGCTGGACTTGATTTACTGCCGGTTGTAGCACATCAAATGGGGAAGAAGTCCTTCCAGACTGATGGCTTACCAGGAGTTGTAGTTCACCGCAAGTTGACCAAGATATTTTGCCGTTGAGATTTTGTTGAAGCACAGATCCAGAATAGTCAGTGGTATTATTTCCAGTGACCGGGAGTGGCAACCACCACATCTGCTCCTTGATCAGTATCTCTCAGTTGTGGACCCTTTGGAGCTTCTTCATACGAACGCACAAGACATCTTCGACAACTTTCCAAACTTGACTGCCTCCTTTTGAATCCGTTTTGCCAGCTCCCTAGTTTGATGATAACATCAACACAGTTGGAAATGGAAGGAGTGAGCGGGGCTGTACTAGACTTTGATCCGCTGTTTGATGTTCTTTGCCCGAGCTGCGGTTCCAAAACACCAACCATGGATTCGTTTTTGGAGTAATAACACCACCTCGGGCTCATGGGATTTTGCAACAACCCCGCTGGCGGAAACATTGCTGGAATTAAGTTCGTTATCACTTCCATCATGATGTTGCAGCGTAGGTTTTGGCTGGCTTTTGTTGTCTTCTTCTTCCCGCGAACTCCGGCATACTGGAGAAGTGCCTATCGTATTCTTCCTTTGCTTTGTAGGCGGCATATTGGGCGGCCATGGCTTGCATCTTGTCAACCTTGCCCACTTCATGCTGTAGAAGCCTGCCCTACGTTTAGACAGTCTGGTATTTACAAGAAGTTTCAGTGCTCTCCTTCGAACCTTTAATTCTTTTGTAAGCAGCTTGGTAACACGTCATTGAAGCTACAACGGTCATGGCAAGAACACTTCAGATATGTTTGCCAGAT